CGTCGGATTTTGGCTCAGGTCATGATCCCGCACTTCGTGGGTTCCAACCCCGCAGGGTCTGTGCTGATGGCTCAGAGCCCGGAGCCTGCTTCAGATTCTGTGTCTCCCTCTCTCTCTGTCCCTCCCCTGCTTACACTCTGTCTCTCTGTCTCCTAAAAATAAATAAACATTAAAAAAATTTAAAATAGCATAGGCTAAAAATATTAGTACATCTGTCTTTATGCTCAAACTTTGAAATAATGAAAACCTCCCAAAGTCCAAAAAAAAAAAAAAAAAGTCCCTCGAGACCACACAGTCTCAGAGTTGCATTTCCAGTGATTTGGATACAGGGTTTCCAGGCTGGGTAGCTGGTAGACAGAAGTGCCCAGGCCCAGGGTCTGCAGTGCCGGCCCCTGCATCTGTGGGGGCACCTCCGAGGTGGTTACTGTTGTTACGTATGCACGACATATGGCACTTGTAGGGGATCAGAATATAGCACCCCAGAATGGGCCAGGTTGTCATAAGAATTATCATAAGCTGAAGATAACTGAGAAACAGCAGACCCCAAACTTTGCCTCCTCCTGCGGGTATCAGGAAGGGCAAACACCATCTTCGTCACTGGGGTCTCTTCTCAGAATGGTTACAACAAACCTGACCCGATACAATCCTTACCTTCCTTTTCGTCTCCCCCCTGTCTTCACCTGCCCACAGTTTGCCACACTTAAAAGCCTGGACTTCTTTTCCTTTGCCCTGTCACTTTTCTTCAAGTTTATTGTCTTGTTAAGACTCCTTTGAGTACTCAGCACCGAGTTTCCCCTACCTGTATGCATTAATAAACTCTTGATATCTTGCTGTTCTCTTGTTTTCTCTTGTCAATCTGTCTTTTGTCAGTTTAATTTTCAGGCCCTACCCACCAAACCAAGGAGGGTATAGGAACAAATCTTTCCCCTCCCCTACACTCTCATTGTTATCATAACTCAAAATTTCTAGACGCTCTAACAATAGTCTCCAGTAGTTATGCTGAGGCTGAGCTGTGCTCTGAAGGTCAGTGCTTGGGACTCCTGGTGCTGACTGATATTCTTCTTCTTCTTTTTTTTTTTTTTACATTTATTCATTTTTGAGAGACAGAGAGAGAGAGCACAAGCAGGGGAGGGGAAGAGAGAGAGGGAGACACAGAATCTGAAGCAGGCTCCAGGCTCTGAGCTGTCAGCACTGAGCCCGGGTGCTGACCGATATTCTAAATGACTCGTGCTGAAGCTGAGAAAATGAGGAAAAGTGTATCAGGGATAAAAATAAATCAGCTACACTGGCCTTGGGTGTTCATTTCAGTGGCTCATTGTTTGGGAATTATTTGAGTTTTGAATTATGCTTGGCCTTCAGGGACATAGCTCATAAATAAGATGCCACAACCTTGTGTATATTTGAGAGA